AACATTATTTCAAATTATAATAATATTTAACAAAATTACTGTTTTTACTGTATCTTTTAACAAATAAGTGCAGCTTTGGTGAGCATAATGGACAATTTTAACGATGTCCTTGCTACATTTTTGGGCCTTGAACATATCAGTTGTGTTGCGGTCTATCAGGGTCAGAAAGCTCTCGGATTTCATAAAAAATATCTTAATTTGTGTTCCAAAAATGAACGAAGGTCTTGCGGAGTTGGAACGACATGAGGATGAGTAATTAATGACAGAATTTTCATTTTTGGATGAACTATCACTTTAAAAGTGAAAAAAAAAACACCCATGTACTGTACAGTGTAAAGAGTTTTGTTTATAATGGGAGTTTGCACTGAGCTGCAAAACACAGTTTTGTGATGGACAATTATATATCACTTATAAATGGTTAAATACAAAATTAATAGTAGTTATTAAGATTGAAAAACATTATTTCAAATTATAATAATATTTAACAAAATTACTGTTTTTACTGTATCTTTTAACAAATAAGTGCAGCTTTGGTGAGCATAATGGACAATTTTAACGATGTCCTTGCTACATTTTTGGGCCTTGAACATATCAGTTGTGTTGCGGTCTATCAGGGTCAGAAAGCTCTCGGATTTCATAAAAAATATCTTAATTTGTGTTCCAAAAATGAACGAAGGTCTTGCGGAGCTGGAACGACATGAGGGTGAGTAATTAATGACAGAATTTTCATTTTTGGATGAACTATCACTTTAAAAGTGAAAAAAAAAAACACCCATGTACTGTACAGTGTAAAGAGTTTTGTTTATAATGGGAGTTTGCACTGAGCTGCAAAACACAGTTTTGTGAAACTGTCTAAACATGCAATCAGTAACAACTTCAGTGATTATAAGGTGTTCAGTGGCAGACTCCAGTATTGTCATGTTACTCACTTTGTGTAATTTAGTCTAGAACCTAATAACAGCTGTGTTTTTCATGCTGCTAAGAGAGCCAATATAAACTCAACCACTCAGGCACTAAACAGTGAGTTCATGAATACACACACGCTAACTAGACTGAAGGGCAAATGAGATCGGAATAACGTATGCTATAAAATGAGTGAGATGGGAAAAATGACAGGACTGCTAGGTGTGTGCATTTTATGTTTTCTGCACACGTTGCACTGACGAGAAAGGCCAGACTCAGAGTCTCGGAGTAAGTGTGATGGCGTTTACGACAACAGGGCCGCAATAACAAAACACTGCAAGGAAAACGGCACACTTATGCAATTACATGTGGCAGGTAGCAGTTAGCCGTCTGATTGGCTGCCTGATCAAAAACACTGACTATTGCAGAAAGAGGAGCTTCCCTGCTTCAAGTAAAAAAGTCTGTACTTCTTTGGCTCCGGTCTATCCCGTGCTAATTTTAATGATAACACCGATTAGCATGCGCTGGGGAGCTGCAGGGCAAGAGTGGCTGCTCTGAGGCTCGGCATCTGTGGACAAGAGAGAGCAATCACACTGGTTGACTGGACAGGATGCAGTATTAGCTGAAGAGACACCTGAGGCCTCCTGAAAGAGCCACGTTTATACACACTCAGACCAGCTGGGAGGCTGCCAGAGCCTGCTCAACACACATACACTAACTCACTCATTTACACGCTCTCCACCTCATGTATCTCTCTCTTTTTCTGTCTGAATCAGCACACACTCCTCCACCTGTGGCTCAGCCACTCATCCTGGAGCGCAAGCGGAAAGACGGAGAGAGAGAAAGAGACAGAGATAGAGAGAAAGATTGGTCTGAAACTATAAGAGCCTGCATACTCTGGCGTGAAGGAGTCAGTCCTTGTAGGAGGACACTGCTGGTGTTTGATTGATGATGAAAGGATGAGAAAAGAGATAGAGAGAGTGGCCACAAATAGGGGAGGAAGTACCCACATGACACTTTAGAAATGAGGCTGGGAAATATAGCTTAAAAAAAACCCTCAATATCTTAATATATTTTCAGTTTTTTTGACAATAACCAAAGTCTTGAAATGCAAATTGTGATTTTTAATTTCCCATTATTACCACAAAATAGCCATTGTCCAAAACTTATTCAAAATGTACAGAAACTTACAAATATGCAAGATTTTCAACTAAAAAGAAGAAAAATGGCAAATAATATTTTAAAATACAGCAACAAAGTTTGGGATTGGGGTTAGATTTGGGATAAGATTTTTTTTTTAGTATTTTTGAAAAGTCTTTCATAATTACCAAAATCATTTTATAATCACCTTTGTTTTTATCAATCAATCAATTAATAAATTAAATAAAAACAATTAAAACAAACAGTAAAAACAGTAATGTTTTGAACTATTGCAATTTTAAAAAAAGTTTTCTATTTGAATATATTTTAAAATGTAATGTATTCCTGTGATAAAGCTGAATTTTCAGTATCATTACTCCAGTCTGCAGTCTTCAGAAATCATTGTTATGCTGAGCAACATTATTATTAGTAGTAGTATTAAACTTGCTATATTGTTATTAAATTAAACAGTTGTGCTGCCTAATTATTTAGTTTTTTATTATGTTTAAAAGGATTTTTTTAGGTCTATAATTGGCCTCGTAGTAATGCTGAAATAATTGGGTTGGTATGGTCTTTCCTAACGCTGAAGTGTAATCTGCTATTGGGAAAAATTTATTATTAGTAGTAGTATTAAACTTGCTATATTGTTATTAAATTAAACAGTTGTGCTGCCTAATTATTTAGTTTTTTTATTATGTTTAAAAGGATTTTTTTAGGTCTATAATTGGCCTCGTAGTAATGCTGAAATAATTGGGTTGGTATGGTCTTTCCTAACGCTGAAGTGTAATCTGCTATTGGGAAAAATAAAAAAACAAAAAAGATCTGACGGACAGCAAGAAAGCCGGAATGAGTAATATGCACATAAACAAGAACTCATCTCTGCAAAAGTTATGATTTCCACTCTAGAACGAACCAGATTTTTTATTAAAACTTTAAAGCTAAGTTTACAATTAAAGAGAGGGATCTCAAACAAAGCAAAATAAAGAAATACAATGCAAACTTTTGATGCACTGGGTAACTGAATGAATCCAAGCAGAGAAGAAACCTTCTTCAGTTCAGATAGACTCATGCTCAGAGATTAATAACATTACAATGGAAAGACTGTTCAATAGAGAGAATAAGACAAAAATAAAGGATATAATCAGAGAGGCAAGTGACTTAAGCAGAGGGCTGAAACTCTGTCTCTGACTTGAATGACATTCATCCAAAATGTATAAATAAGTCAGACACTGACTGCCTGGACAGTGTGTAGTGCCCCCTGTTGAGCAAAGACAGCAGTGACATGGCGTCAGTAAACCCTTATAGAAGAGCTGAAACAGAAGCACTTTGGTTCTGAATGACTGTCATGAGACATCTAATGAAATCTAAATTAACCTAAAAAGGTTTATTAGAGACCTGCTCTAGAGACTTAAACACTGAGATTTGTTTTAAATGAAAGTAAAGGACAGCAGTCCTTCAAGAGAGTCAAACAAGAAAAAAAGAGAGAAACTGAATTAAACAAAACCAAGGAGAATCACATGAGCTTCAGTGGCAGTCCTTTAAAAAACCTTGACTTATTCAATAACTTATTCAAATAACTCTACTGAGGATTATGCTTTTAAACATACAAAAAATCAGTTATCTCCCACCATCACACAAACATGTAAAATGCAACTCCTAATATTCATACTCCAGTTCTTAGCTTACCCTCATAGCACTTTCACATGACTCACGTCAACGTTCCTCAACGGACTGAATTCTATGGAGCAAAGCGTCAATCTACAGCACTCAAGTGCTGTTTACAGTTAAAACAATTCCAGCTTTGACCTACTGACCTTTCGAGGTACAGGCCTTACTTTTCTGATCGTGAGATTTGCTGGTTTAATTTTGAGGGTATTATTGACATTTTAAAGCCAACAGTCAATACATATATTGGCTGATCTTAGATGTCAATCTGTTAGTGTCACTTTAAAATGTTCACATTAAAAGTCTCCAGAATTACTTGTACTTTTTTTATAAAAAAAACAAAACATAAAATAAAAAATTATATTTTATAT